TGTTTTTGCCAATGCATTGAATCTGGATATTGACTCATCATTTTCTCGTGAGGTTTACTGGAAACAAGTCAGTTTTGAAATGCAAGAGCAGTGCAGGTAGGATAGAGGAGGCAATTCTCGAGGCTCCACCCTCAGATCGCTTTCCTCCGCTCCAGAATGAGCTGGATCCCTTGGCTCAGTGCCATGCACGTTGTTCCCAGCAGAAGCAGCGAGACACACCTATTGGATACCTCACTTCGGGATGAGAATCTATGAAATTTCCCACACCTATTTGTGAAATTGCTACTACCTCTCAACTATCCCAGATGGTAGTTTCAATGCCCAAAAGGTAGTGGTAAGCTTCTATTACACAAAGTGGGCAGTCTTCTTAGAATTATGTATGTTTCTCAATAGAGCTCAATATGGCTACTTCCATTTCTGATGTTAAATATAAGCCCTGTAAAATGTTAATTCTTTGTGAATTTGCTATGGTTAGTTTGCTCAGCCTCTTTCTACTCATTGGTTTCTTAAAGTCAGTCTGGTACAAAATTGTTATTCTGTAAGTAAGTGTTGGTTAAATGTATAGCTGAATCTTTAAACCTCTTTCCAGATCAAAATGTGTATGATTATCTTAATCTAGAATTCAGAATTTCAGGGTTGCTAAGGAGGTGGGTTCTTTTGGTCCAGACTGAACCTGTGATTTGTGCTCTTCCTTTTGATGGTACTAAGTGCCGACAGAGCAGCAGAAATGCCCCCATGGACCAAGTTTACATTCTGTTGTTTTCACCACTGAGAAGCTTTAGGTGACAAGTACTTACAATATGAGAGTCAGCTCTGAAACTATTTCTATGGGGTGTCCCCCAAACCACTCATAAAAGGCAGTGTTTATTAAAATACATTTAGTTGCCGAAACCGGTTTGGCTCGGTGGATAGAGCATCGGCCTGCGGACTGGAGGGTCCCAGGTTCGATTCCGGTCAGGGGCGTGTGCCTGGGTTGCGGGCACATCCCCGGTGGGAGATGTGCGGGAGGCGGCTGATCGATGTTTCTCTCTCATCGATGTTTCTAACTCTCTATCTCTCTCTCTCTTCCTCTCTGTAAAAAATCAATAAAATATATTTTAAAAAAAATAAAATAAAATACATTTCGTTTTAAAAATTGAGCTGTCAGCTATTAAAGTGTGTATACATTTTGGGGGACACCCTGTGTAATTATTTTGAAGCACTTCCATCTTAGCAAAAACTTGGGTTATTTTTTCCTTTGGTTTTAGTGATTGATGCATATAAGTTATATGCATTTAGTTTTAGTTAAAAATACTATAAGTATAGCACATGTAGTTGAATCATTTTTCATTGTTATATTTAAACTAATATTAAGAGGCAACATGGAAAATAGATCCGAGCTTTGATACTGACCAGCTGCTTAGCCAATCACCACTGGGTGAAAAAGTGAAAGCCAGGTAGATGAGCAGGAGTGGGATAAGGATTCTGGGAGTCAGGCGCCTAGAGGGCCTGGATCTCCTGCTGTTGAACCTCAATTCTCCTTCCCTCCTGCACCACTGCTTTTGTCCCCTCTTTCCTTTCCTCTTGGCAGTGAGGACCAGCTTGCCTTCCCATCCAACTGTTGCTTCCACCCAGTGATTCCAGTCCATCCAATGATGAGTTCTTTCTGGTCTCTAAGCAAGCACACTCCTCTATCAGTGTTTCCTGATAGCTTTATCTGCTAGCAAGCAAAGAGAAACAGACCTTCTCATTCAGGCCTCGGTGCTGTGGAGAGGACAGGGTGGTTCTAGACAACAGCAGACTGAGGGGAAGAAGAGATAGGAAGTGTCTGGTAAGGGGAGACCCTGCTGTCATTGCAGTAGCCTGTGCTAGGGTGACCGGCATGTTCACGTGTTTGCAGTCGATGGTCTGAAGTCACTGGTCATGGCCTGGGCTGGCTTGTGAAAAGCAAAGCAATGTTTTGAAAGCTGCAAGCATGGTGTTTAAGCTGCCGACTGCCCTCCCCATGGATGTGGGTGTGTGAGCATGTATGTTATGTTATTAACCTACTTTGCAATAACAAAGAGACCTAGGAAATTACAATATATCATTTGTAATAAATTAGAAAGTGGTAGTTGAATATTGGTCAATATGTTTAAAATAACAGAATGAAAGATTACAGTGTTGAAAAATGAGATCTATATTTTTAATGGATAAATGGATAAGCACCTCCATTTATCCTTGTGACATATTTTTCTAGTAGCACTTTTGGGGTATAATTTATAAAGATAAAATTTCCTTAATTATTATGTTGCTTTTATTAAAGGTAAGTGTGGTGTGTTTTAAAGATAAAGACAGCCTTCATTCAGAAAATAGGAAATGTATACATTGGTTTCATGCCCTTATGCGTGGCTGGTTACAAATTTTATGCCAACTTGCTTGAATAGGTAGAATAAAATCTGCACATTAGGTTTTGAAGCAGTTATAATACAATATATCTTATGGATGTAATTACCACAGTTTTATGTCTTTGCACTTTATTGTTCTCAGGTTGCAGTTGTAAAGAAGTACTCTGCCTTGTGGCTTTTATGTTTTATCTTGGCATTCAAATCACAAAAGCCTCTATGGTTCATTTTGAAACTTTGAGGGAAATGATACCCATATGATTTAAAGTTTAAGCTTAATTACCTTCTGCAAATTGCTTTTGGAGTCTAGGTAGTCAAAAGGTAAAAGCGGTTGTAAATTTGAGAGATAGAGAATAGCATAATTGCTTTTTAGAGATTTTATTAAAAATAGATTCTCCCCAGGGCAGGAAAGTTAGCATTGCCTTTGTATAACATTTTCTTGCTTATTTTTTTTTAAAAAAATATGTTTTTATTGATTTCAGAGAGGAAGGGAGAGGGAGAGAGAGATAGAAACATCAGTGATGAAAGAGAATAATTGATTGGTTGCTTCCTGCACACCTCCTACTGGGGACCTTGCCCGAAACCTGGGCATATGTTCTTGGCCAGAATTGAACCTGGGACCCTTCAGTCTGCAGGCTGACGCTCTATTCACTGAGCCAAACCAGCTAGGGCCATGCTCTTTTCTTTATTGCCACGAAAGTTATATAATCCCAATCTCCATCTCTCATCCTTATTTATGAATATGATCAATTACTGAAATTTTACCACAAATTCCATGCCCATCCTTAAAGGCAATATCATGTTTCAGGTAAGAATTGTGAAAGGTGTTGCTCTGGCCATTATTACTCAATGATTAGAGCATCGGCCCATGCATTGAAGGGTCTCAGGTTCGATTCCCAGTCAAGGGCATGTACCTGGGTTGCAGATTTGATCCCCGCACCAGTGGGGGCACTTTCAGGAGGCAACCAGTTGATGTATCTTTCTCTCCCTTTCCCTCTCTCTCCTTTTCTCCCCCGCCCTCCCTCCCTTCCACTCTTTCTAAATATCAATGGAAAAAAAATCCTAGAGTGAGGATTAACAATAACAACAAACTGCGAAAGTTGTTGTGAGGTCATTTGAGCAATTATGTTTTAAACTAGAGGCCTGATGCACGAAATCCATGCAAGGAGCTCGGCCCTCACAGCTGCGGCTTCATCCAGAAGGTCGTTCGGCTGTCCAGTCTAATTAGCATATTACGCTTTTATTATTATAGATAATAAAGGTATCCCTACATCAGCGGTTCTCAACCTGTGGGTCGCGACCCCTTTGGCGGTCAAACGACCCTTTCACAGGGGTCACCTAAGACCATCCTGTATATCAGATATTTACATTACAATTCATAACAGTAGCAACATTACAGTTATGAAGTAGCAACGAAAATAATTTTATGGTTGGGTCACAACATGAGGAACTATATTTAAAGGGCCAGAAGGTTGAGAACCACTGCCCTACATGAAAGGACTTTCATCCACACATAGGTGTGGTGTCCACTCCTAAGGTGGGCACCTGTTCCATTGTGTAGGGAAGTTGAGGATGGTGTTACTAGTGTTGTAAACTTCTTTAGAAATAGATGCTGCCTGTAATTTTTCACTTGGTAGTGTTAATAATCCGTTAATATTGGAATTACTTAGGTGACACATTCTGAGCATTAGCTTGGTTCATGGTAATCGGTTTTATTAAATCAACTCTGGAATTTTAGAGGCACCTCCCACTGCACTTGTAATCGAGACATCCCACTCAGATTTAACAAACCTGCAGCAGTAACACCGTATCTATCGACATATTTAGGACCAGGAATAATCTAATATGAGATTCGGGAGGGCCAGGGATTTCTGCTGGAACCCCAGTGTCTACTTATTTATTACTGCATGGTTTCTACTGAGCTGGTTTTGGTCATTAACTGTTCTGTATAGTTTCCAGAAATAGCTCAGACATTGTAGTGAGTCAAAGTGGTCAGGAAGTGGTTTTCAAACTTTAGTGTACATCCCCATCACCTAGAGTGTTGCCTAAAATGCAAATTCCTGAGCACCGCCCCCTGGAGATCTGGTACCATGAGCGTGGGAATCTGCATTTTATCCAGGTAGTTCTGAGTCAAGTGGTCTAGTGACAACCCTTTGAGAAACATATGTGTAGGAAATGTATGTACAAGCAGGCTGCTTCCTGGGTGTCTCACCTGTGCAAATGTAGGCCCCCCCATTCGGAAGGGCCCTGCACATGGCTTGCTGTTCTTCTCTTACCTTCTTGAATTGTTAATAATTTTTGAACAAGCAGTCCTGCATTTTCATCTTTCCCTGAGACCTGCTAATTATGTAGCCAGCTCTCTATACAAAGGTTTTATTGGATGTTACTGAAATTGTGTTTCTTGGTACCCATGAATTGCAGTTGTTCAATAATGATTTCTTCCCTGTTTGTGTTCAGCTGAAATGCCAAGACTACTTCTAAGCTTTAGAAATCAATGAGTATCATTCATCATAGGACATAGGATAGGAAATCCTAATAGTATGATTTTTTCTCTCAAGACAATTAAATATTTATTCCTAGTCTTGAACATAGAAGCCTATGTTTGTTATTCTGATACACTATTTCTTTTTCTCCTAGGATGGCACAAAACAGAAAAGAGAACGGAAAAAGACCGTCTCATTCAGCAGCATGCCAACAGAGAAGAAGATCAGCAGTGCGAGTGATTGTATCAACTCAATGGTTGAGGGTTCGGAGCTCAAAAAGGTTCGCTCCAACTCTAGAATTTACCATAGGTATTTTTTATTGGATGCCGACATGCAGAGCCTGAGGTGGGAACCATCAAAGAAGGATTCTGAGAAAGCCAAGATTGATATTAAATCCATCAAGGAAGTGAGAACAGGAAAGAACACAGACATATTCCGCAGCAATGGCATTTCTGACCAGATATCTGAAGATTGTGCGTTTTCTGTCATATATGGCGAGAATTACGAGTCACTTGATTTGGTTGCCAACTCTGCAGATGTTGCGAACATCTGGGTTACGGGACTGCGGTACCTAATTTCTTATGGAAAACATACACTTGATATGTTAGAAAGTAGCCAAGACAACATGAGGACTTCCTGGGTTTCACAAATGTTTAGTGAAATTGATGTAGATAACCTTGGACACATAACTCTGTGTAATGCGGTGCAGTGTATCAGAAACCTCAATCCTGGCTTAAAAACCAGCAAAATTGAGCTTAAGTTCAAAGAATTGCACAAATCCAAGGACACAGCTGGTACTGAAGTTACAAGGGAAGAATTTGTTGAGGTTTTCCATGAGCTTTGTACTAGACCCGAAATCTATTTCCTTTTAGTTCAGTTTTCAAGCAATAAAGAATTCCTTGATACCAAGGACCTTATGATGTTTCTTGAGGCAGAGCAGGGTGTGGCACACATAAATGAGGAAATAAGCCTTGAAATTATTCACAAATATGAGCCATCCAAAGAGGGCCAGGAAAAGGGCTGGCTCTCCATAGACGGGTTCACTAACTACCTTATGTCACCCGACTGTTATATATTTGACCCGGAACATAAGAAGGTCTGCCAGGATATGAAGCAACCTTTGTCTCATTATTTTATAAACTCATCTCATAATACATACCTAATAGAGGATCAGTTCCGAGGCCCCTCTGATATCACAGGGTACATTCGAGCTCTTAAAATGGGTTGCCGGAGTGTTGAATTAGATGTATGGGATGGGCCAGACAACGAGCCTGTCATCTACACGGGCCACACCATGACCTCTCAGATAGTCTTCCGCAGTGTCATTGACATTATTAACAAGTATGCATTCTTCGCTTCAGAGTACCCGCTCATCTTGTGTTTAGAAAACCACTGTTCCATTAAGCAGCAGAAGGTGATGGTCCAGCACATGAAGAAAATTTTAGGAGACAAGCTCTATACAACATCCCCCAATGTGGAGGAAACATACCTACCATCCCCAGATGTCCTGAAAGGGAAGATATTAATAAAAGCAAAGAAGCTGTCCTCAAGCTGCTCTGGAATGGAAGGAGACGTGACTGATGAAGACGAAGGAGCAGAAATGTCTCAGAGGATGGGAAAAGAGAACGCAGAGCAACCCAACAGTGTGCCTGCAAAGCGGTTTCAGCTCTGCAAAGAACTGTCCGAGCTGGTGAGCATCTGTAAGTCAGTCCAGTTCAAAGAATTCCAGGTGTCCTTTCAGGTTCAGAAGTACTGGGAGGTCTGTTCCTTTAACGAAGTGCTCGCCAGCAAGTACGCCAACGAGAATCCAGGGGACTTTGTGAACTACAACAAGCGTTTTCTCGCGCGGGTTTTTCCCAGCCCCATGAGGATTGACTCTAGCAACATGAACCCTCAAGATTTTTGGAAATGTGGCTGTCAAATCGTAGCCATGAACTTTCAGACCCCGGGACTGATGATGGATCTGAACATCGGCTGGTTTAGTCAGAATGGGAACTGTGGCTATGTCCTTCGGCCAGCCATCATGAGGGAGGAAGTCTCCTTCTTCAGCGCCAACACAAAAGACTCTGTCCCAGGAGTCTCACCTCAGCTTCTTCACATCAAAATCATCAGCGGGCAGAACTTTCCCAAACCCAAGGGGTCAGGTGCCAAAGGTGATGTGGTGGATCCTTATGTCTATGTGGAAATTCATGGAATCCCTGCCGACTGTGCAGAACAAAGGACAAAAACAGTGCACCAGAATGGAGACACTCCCATTTTCGATGAAAGCTTTGAATTTCAAATCAACCTCCCGGAACTGGCCATGGTGCGCTTTGTGGTACTAGATGATGACTACATCGGGGATGAGTTTATTGGCCAGTACACGATTCCCTTTGAATGTTTACAGACGGGCTACCGCCACGTCCCCCTGCAGTCACTGACTGGAGAGGTCCTAGCACACGCCTCTTTGTTTGTCCACGTGGCCATTACTAACCGAAGAGGAGGAGGGAAACCTCATAAAAGGGGCCTTTCTGTGAGGAAAGGGAAGAAATCCAGGGAATATGCATCTTTGAGAACACTGTGGATTAAAACTGTAGACGAGGTATTCAAGAATGCCCAGCCCCCTATACGGGATGCCACAGATCTGAGAGAGAACATGCAGGTATGTTCTTGTGTTTCAGTGTTTACCCAATGGTTTTCCTTCTTAGTGCATGCATGTAGTTCATGGATATATTGGAGGGCTATTATTTTTGTTGTTGTTGTTTCTTTTACCATAGTATACTTGATTTTAAATTATTTGTAAATTCCAGTTGCTTATTAGAATTTTACCACTAGTCTCATTTTTTTTATCATTTAGACTTTTAAAACCATAGTTGGTATTGAGAATGTTGATAACATGTTCAAATCAGCCAGTCTCCTTGTTGATACATCATTCCTGATTGGAATCTGGGGGATGGTAGGTATGTTTCCTCCACATTGGGGGATGTTGTGTAGAGCCAGTCTCCTTGTTGATACATCATTCCTGATTGGAATCTGGGGGATGGTAGGTATGTTTCCTCCACATTGGGGGATGTTGTGTAGAGCCAGTCTCCTTGTTGATACATCATTCCTGTCTCACACTCCACATCTTAATTTCTTTTAATTAATGCTTAACAGCGCCCCACATTTTTCCGGTAGTGTACATGGGAATCTGTTTTTTCTGCATATTCCTTAGCTGGGACACAAATTGATGACCTATTAGAATGAAGGGGATGTGTTCCAGTTCTTTTTTATGGAGCTGTTCTGTGGGGAAAATAGCAAGCACTTAACTAAGCCACTGTGTTTGCCTTTTGAGCCTCCTCTCGATTGTAGAGGACAGCTATTTAATTGTCTGAGTAAAAGGCATGTGGTGTGTATATCAATGACAAGTCTAATGATTGCCACTGAGTTATATAATGGCTAAAAGCAATCAGGAATGATGTATATAATTAAGGATCGTCCACATGTCTAGCAGTAGACTAGGACCCATGAGTAACGCAGAAGTGGGCAGTGAGGGCACCTCACAGGGATACCAGCCCTGACCGGTCCCAGGGTGAAAAGTGCTGTGAGCATGACAGCTGCTCAGCGTGCGTTTATTTAATAAACATATATAATATATTAGCTGATTACGCGTGTGTGTGTGTGTGTGTATACAGGGTGGGGCAAAAGTCGGTGTACAGCTGTGAGTACATGAAACACAGTTTCTTCTTGTATTATTATTTATTAATTGTTGTATTATTTTCCATCCAAACAACTGCAAACCTACTTTTGCCCTACCCTGTATATAACTATTTTAAGAAGAATGCCATCAGCAAGTAAAATCTAACTCGGAAAATTCAATATATTTCACTCTTCTACCAATTCTATGGATACTTCATTAATAAAGAGACCTTCCCTCAATAGAGAAATTTTATTCTCTTTCTTTCAAAGTAAAAGCATACCAGCAATGTGAAGGGTTTTCCCCTGTTTCTGAGGGTGAGAATGTCTCGGTAAAGTCTGAGCTCTGAGCCAGCCACCTTGTCCCCTGCCCCTCGGAAGGCTGCTGTCGTGCATGTGGGGACCTGGCGGAGCTTGGGCATCCTCTTTCCAGAACCTGTGTCTGCTCTGGGCCCGACAGAGCAGGTGGTGGTGATGTGCAGTGAACACCACACGCAGCAGCCTAGGCCAGGAGGACGCGCCGTGAGCACAGATGACTTTAGCTGGGGGTGGGCCAGGCAGGGAAGTGGACCCGGACTGTACGCAGGTGAATCAACAAGCAAGACAACTGCCAACACAGCAAGAGCCGTGAAGAAAGTAAACGGAGGTGAGAGTTATGCAGACTCCACTCAGACATGGCAGTTGTGATTTATTGCTGTAAGCAGTCAGCACTGAAGTGCTTTTGAGCCAGATGACCTATGGTGTGATGTCCATGTTTAAAGCAATATTAATAGAAGAAAATGTTTAAAAACATTTTTAAAAGAAAAAACTAAAGTGTGCCACTCATTTCTAAGAACCGGAGAATTAGAGAGAGGATACACAGGGGTCGGCAGGCCCGGATCCCTCCCCACTGGCTGCCATGCTCAGCCCAGGTCAGGGCCCAGTAGCCTGGCTCACTTTCATTAGAGTTTACCTGCTTTTATAGAACACTGATTAAAATCAACAGATTTCAAGTAAAATCTTGACTCCTTCACTTACCAGCTGTGTGGCCTTAGGCAAATAACAGAGAGGCTATAGCGGAGGCTGTTTCCTCATCCACAGCATGGCTTGTTGAGAGGAGTAAGTGAGGTGATTTGTAGCAAACACGCCTGCTATCGCCTTGCACTGGTAAGTGCCCAGAGACTGCCAACTTGCCAACTCAGGGCATTGGACAGTGTTGAAGGGCTTTCTGTAATGGGTATTTAATGGCATGTCTCTGATGAGTAGGAAAAAGAGAGGGGGCAGGAGGGAGAAGCATTGAGGTCCCTGGAGGCACTAAGCAGGGAAGGCCATGGGTAACCAAGGTCTCCCGCTGGGCAGACCTCACAAGAACTGCAGCATCCTCCAAGTTCCTGTAGGTTTGGAACCAGCAAGTAGAAACAGGTGAGAGAGATTCGAGCTCCTGCCTCACAAATATTCCTTTCCTTCTTGAGTGGCTGGCACACTTGATACTTATTTTAAGCCTGGTATTTTTTTTTCTTAATGTGTTCCTTTTTTGAATGCAGACGCCGTTCTTTTTGTTCCCTCATAATTGCATATCAGCCTCAGCACTGCTCTGAACTTTGATCAGAAAAGAGGCTTTGCCCTTGGGAAGAATTTAACTTGTTTGCAGTTTCTGTAATTTTGATAAATTGGTATTATAAATATCTGTAACTGTATTTACTTTGGAAAACAACCAGCTTTCCCAGGATAAAATAATCAATAGCCAACTCCGTCATGGCATTGCTAACAACTGTCATACTAGGCACTTCAAGTATAATCAAGTGTACTGAATATAATATCCATGAGAAATTAAAACCGCTGATTAATTACAAAGTGCCTCCTTCCTTTCTACTTAACAGAATGCAGTGGTGTCCTTCAAGGAGCTGTGTGGCCTCTCCTCCGTGGCCAATCTCATGCAGTGCATGGTGGCCGTGTCTCCCCGCTTTCTGGGGCCGGATAACACACCCCTGGTGGTCCTGAATCTCAACGAGCAGTACCCCACAATGGAGTTGCAGGGGATTGTGCCTGAGGTTCTGAAGAAGATAGTAACAACTTATGACACAGTGAGTCGTTTTGTACTTTTACGTAGCCTGCTTGAGAGGGTGTCTTAAGGTCATACTCCAGATACTTAAGAGCTCTTGCCGAAACCGGTTTGGCTCAGTGGATAGAGCATCGGCCTGCGGACTGAAGGGTCCCGGGTTCGATTCCGGTCAAGGGCATGTACCTGGGTTGCGGGCATATCCCCAGTGGGGGATGTGCAGGAGGCAGCTGATCGATGTTTCTCTCTCATCGATGTTTCTAACTCTCTATCTCTCTCCCTTCCTCTCTGTAAAAAATCAATAAAATATATTTAAAAAAAAAAAAAAAAAAAAAAGAGCTCTTGCTAAGGTGTCCTCTCCTATTTCATGCTGCATTGACCTGTGCTGGAACAACTATTCTCTGACCTGCGGGATTGGAAGGAGTTCAGTCTTTTGGTGTTGTTTTAGAAAGCAGGGTTCAGAGACTTTTGCCTCAGTTGGATTTGATAATAGATGGTTTTGTAATAACTATATCTGAGTAGATTTCTAAAGGATATACTATTTTCCACATACATATAGTAAAGAGTATTTTTTATCTTCCTCTGCAACCAGCCATGGATTCACTCATTTTGTTTTGTTTTCGTTTTTCAAACTGGTAAAGGTGAGAAATTTAATGCTTAAAAAAAGTACATTGTAAGTGCCCTCTGGGCAGGTGCTTCCGTCACAAGCGCTGTCCGGTGTAGTGGTTTTCTTTCGCACAGCAGGTGCTCTGAGACACGTATAATCTGTAATCAGCGGAACATTAATGCGATGTCCTTGGGAGACCTGAAATATTACAGATTTGCTCTTACGGTGAATCTGGCATTTTCTTAGTCACATCCTGCTCATATTGTACTTTTTGACTTAACGTAACTCAAAGGGAGAACTTAGTGGGTGAACTACACCCATTTTAAGCTCACCATGTAGTTGAAGCTCTCTGAACTTATGAGTGCTGGCAGCTGCTCTCCAGCCTGTCAAGGTTAAGGTTGGTGTTGGACCCTCCCGCCCAGGTGGGCCAGGCTGTCACCTTTCGCTGTTCAGGGTGCTCAGGGGCAGGAGGCCTCCTCCCCTCCTCACTGAATGCACAAGCTAAGCCCACAGAGCACTAGGCTTCTTCCCATGTAGCCTGCCTCGGTCAGAACCAAAACAAAGTTGCTATCATATACTTCAACAAAAATAGTTTTAAGTGTTTTGTAAATTAATCTGAAAGCTGCAATTCAGAGGGATTTGTACAAGTTAAGGGAAAGAAAAAAAACACTTAGGTCAGCGTTTCCCACAGTATATTCTGAGGAACCTTGGTTTCTTAGGATCTTAGTAAATGTCACATGGGAGCAAAGGTTCCATGGTGAAACAATTTGGGGAAATACTGGTTTGAACAAATTAATCAGATGCCCTATTTCACAAATTGACTTGACCATGGGGTACTATATCCCAACACAGAATTTCCAAAGAACTTTTGTTCTTGATTTTCTTCACTTCTTGGAAGTAAGTCAGAAGAATGGAATGTTTTAAATAGCTTATCATTTCATACCTTTAAAGAAGTGGTATTTGATCTTTTTCTTACACAATGGCCACACTTTGTAGCAGATGCTTTTTATCCCTGCCATTTCCAGCTTAGAGTTCATGGTCGTGTAAGAGCTATAAAGGACTGAACACTGGACACTGCAGGCAAACTCCGGAGAGTCAGCCAACCTGCAGTGGAAGGCAGGCCAGGGGCATGTACCTGATAAACATTGGGGGAGCAGCGTGCTGGCCCCTTTCCTCAGGGAACGTCCAGTCTACTGGAAGGTAGTGGAGGCAGCTGGGAGTGAAATCAACACAGGAAGCTTATGCTGAGATTCCTGTGTGTGAGGTGGGGGTGGGTGGGGGTGGATATAGGGAAAAGAGGTAAATGTGGAAAAAATTGAAGAGTTCTTTCATGCTGTGACCCAGGCTACCTAGTTAGTTCCCAACTCTTTAAGTTTTATATTTGTAAATGCTTTTTAATCTTAAGCCACTAGACATTTTACAGACATGGTTCACTGACCCAAATCTGACATGACTTACCCCCTAGGTGTTTCACTGTTTGCTGTGGCAGTCACACAGTGACATTTCTTCATGGGAACCTTCCTGAGAGCTTCCTGTGAGTGGGGTGGGGGTTGCCCTATGCAGGTGATAACAGGGTAGACTGGAAAAGGGTCAGTACCCAGGATCTGGTCTGGGGCAGAGTGCCGATCCAGAGCAGGAGGGTGGCCATGGCTAGATTTTCGGGCCTGAGTACTAACCCTTGTTCAGTCTACCCTGTTATTGCCTCCGTAGGGCACCCACCACAGTATTGGGCACAGGAATCGGTCCGTGTTCCTTGGTTCCTCTCCCTGGACTGGTAGTTGATAACACTTATTAGGTAACTCTTATGTGCATATAATGTCAACAGTGTGCATTGTTGTAGAAGTGATAAGACAGAAGGCATTAGCTTGTTTAATTTTTTAAATTGTTAAATGACTCTTATGTGATCTCTGATTGAAATAGCTGTGCTGCCTAGTGCCTCTAACTTTATCGATTAGCTCTGTTTTTCATTCCATCTGATAAATTAAGCTATAAAATATTTACAATGAATTCAAATTATTGTGATTTGAACTTTAAAAATTGGAATTTTCCTACAGCAGTATTATAACTCTTGCAATATTTTGCAGTCCTTCTTTAGTGACTTAATGGTCTCTCACCTTGTGACAATGGTTAAATATTGATGGGAAATGTACTATGGTCTGGCACAGCCTGTAACGTTAACTGTAGCTCTTTATTTTTGTAATGTTGTGTTGAACTTAACCCAAAATTAACCTTAGAAATAAGATCTTACATCATTTTGTTGACTGCCCATCTGTAATTAGGAGACTGCAGATGAGAAGTGAGGGCAGCGTAGGAAATCCCCTGCAGAGCTCCTTGTCCCTGCCATCTGCACGCTGAAGCCTCGCCTCCGGTGAGGACGGCCTGGTGTCTCCTCGGGGTACAGATGTGCGCTAATGCTCTCGAGGTTGTGATGACTGTTCAGAGTCTAAACTCTTATTAATAAGCTAGTATGTGGGGAATACGCCAGTGTCTGTGAGAAAAGCTGCGGAGAAGGAATTGATGATGGAAATGCCAACGTGTAAGCCCCTGTGGAGACTAGAAAGAATGCCCAGGCATAGAGTGCCACATCCCAATTTCCCTGAGATGACCCTGTAGAAACACCTGCTGTTCCAGTGTAATTATTAATAACTCTCCCTCTAGCTCTTAAAGTGTCTCTATGTAGATCATTAGTTGTAAGTTCACCATTACTGTGGCCCCTCGATTGTTCTAATGGCTCCTGTGATTGCCATCAACAAACAGATCTTCACAACTGCCCCAACGGTGGTTTTACCCTATTTGTGATATCTTTTTGGTCCTGGAAGTGGTGAGGTTTGGGCCTGGGACCTAGATCAGGAAGGCAGGTGGCAAAGCCATTCAGTGTTGTACACTGAAAATTTGTTAAGAGGGTAGAGCTCATGTTGTATTCGTATCTCCGTAAGGTGTTTTTAAAAGGAAAAATGGTTGTTTCTTGATTTGCTATAATTTTTATGGAATATGCTTTAGTGATTATAATTAAATTGAAGCTGCAGTTGTAGGGAGGGAAAAGGCGAGAAGGGGAAAAAGAAAACGATGCCCACCTCTGTTACAGCAGCCTGGTTGTGCCTCTGCACAGCGGTGGACTCCCGGGCAGCCGCCATCTGTTCAGAGATTATACATGAATTCGTTCCTATGATTGCAGTTCCTTTGTTTGTTCTCTGGGGGATCTATTTATCCAATAGAGAACAGTACTTTTTTAGTGTCAAAAGGAGCAAGATGCTTTGTCTAAGAGGATGTTATTTGCTCTCTGCGGATGTTTTTTATATAAGTTACTGTCCCTTCTAACTCATAACTTTAAATATTCCTTAAAGAGAAGCAAGGTTTTTTTCAATCAAATATGCGAAATGAAAGATTTCTTCTTACACAGACTTGTTGGTAGTCGGCATACAACATCAGGAACACTCTGCTTTATGTTGTCGGTGTGGTTTCGTGTGTTTTGTCTTGCTTAATACAGTGGATAAATAAATCACACATCATAATTGATGGAGTCTGCCCATCTGGACCAAACCAGAGATGATCTGTCATACGATTACTATTGCTCTCCATCTCCTTTGTGACGCCTCTTATCGCTCTCCTGCCTCAGAACCTGACATTAAAGCTTCTTTTAATTGGAGGTATCAACTTTCCCAACTTTGTAACTATAAAATAAAAGGCCAGGCAGAGTATTATGCTCTGGAATAAGACTGAGCTAAAAAGGGGGGAGAGAGGGCATGACGTTTCAAAATAGAAGCGTCACTGGCTGGACCTCTCCTTTCAAATAGAAGTGTCACTGGCTAGACCTCCCCTTTCACCGAATGAAGCTACAGCCTTTGGGATTCTGCTCTTCCCTCTATTGCAGGATACATCCCCCATTCCTCCCCCCCCCTTTTTTTTATAGCTCAGTCTTATTCCAGCTATTGCTTTTTAAAGGGGTAGAGCACCTCCAAGTTTGGCCATGACTGCTTCCAGACAAGTGGTGGAGAAGAGAGCATTCATGGGACTACTTAGGAAAGACTGATTACAAAGAAGGAGGAGCCTAATAGCAGGAACAGATTGTGAAGCTGGTGGGGTCTCAATAAAAATTATTTTCCAGTGGAAAGAAACAAACAAATAAAAAACAAAAGCAATTTCTCTGGAGTCATCAAAAGCATGCAGCGGAGCCACTCCAGAACAGCTGCCAGGCCTATGGAAAGGGAAAGGAATGCTTAAAGGAATGTGATGATAGCATCGCGTGTATCATCAGATCAGACGTAGTGGGCCGCCTCTCAGGAATCAGATGCGGGAGATGGGGGAACTTTTGGAAGATAGTCCTTCAGGGTGAGCACATGGTGGTGATTATAAGACTTTGTCTCTGATCCAGACTTCTAGGTGTACATGTCTCCATGGAAACCAGTGAGGAACACACA